CGCCGCCTGTTGAAACGGCTGTGTGAGCCTCGCTCCTCCGTGGACAGGCGCCACCCCACGCCAGGGGCCAGGGGCCTGCGCCACGCTCCCACCCGCCCTTTCGTCACCAAAGCTGCGCTCGCAGCGTCGGCCCTGGCGGCGAGTCTGGCCCCGGCGGGCATGCGGCTGGGCGTCCGTTCTGGCGTCCGGCCAGGCGCGCCCCTGGGAACCGCCTGCCAGTATCCGCGAAGCGCTCGCGGCCGCCGTGGCTGGACAGCGTGACGGCTACAGCCTTGGCGTCCTGGCTACGTGCAGTCTGGTCCACGCACAATGCTTTTCTGTTTGTCTTTTCTTTGATTGTTTAAAGACTTATTTATTGATGCACACGAGAGCTGGGGAGCAGGCCAGGGGCGTGGGGGTGGGAACACGCCCCAGAGTCAGAATGGGGAGCAGAACAAGTGGATCCACTGGAACCCACTGCCGGGGGGCAGCGGGGAGACGGGAGGGCCTGCGGGGCCCGGGGTCCCTCCAGGCCGGCGGCCGCACCTGTGCTGCAGCGGCCGCGGCCGGCTTCTGGGTGCTGAGACGCCCCCGTGCTCCTGGGGGGACCCCGGGCGCACCTCCTACCCTTGTTCCTCCCTAAGCACAGAGGAGCCACGGCGCGGGCCGAGCGTCTCCTCCGGCCGACAGAGTCCGAGCGAGGGGTGCCCGGAAAAGCCAGGGACCCCAGGCTGGCTCCCCCTGGGGTGGGTCACTGCTGTCTGGCTTCGGCCACTCCTGTCTTTGCAGCCGTTTCGCATTTCGATGCCCTCGATGAGGCAAACGCTGGCTTCACCTTTGGCTGCTTTAATAACGCAGGCGGCCATGGCTGTAGAGTTAGTGTGGCAAAGCAAGACAGCGCAGTGACATCGTGTGACGACACGTTCCTGTCCCAACCAGGCGCTCAGACTCCCGCATTCCACCGTCCTCCAGAGGTGCTCGCTGAACTGAGCTGCGCAGGAAAAGGCGCCGGGAGCCCGAGGGCTTAAGCCTCTGTCGTTCGCCTTCCGCGCCACGTCTCTCAGTGTGGGGGCGGGGGACAGTCAGCGTTTCACTCCTGCGCCTGGCCTTGTTCCGGTCTGTTTACGCTGCTCTAATGAGAATGAGGAACTTAGTAACTCCAGAAAAAAGCAGCTTTCCTTTTGTTTTGCTAACTTTTGTTAGAACATAAACAGAAACGTAAGTTATAGCCGCACGAATTCACCTGCGCGCTGTCTGCCTTTGGCACGCCTCGGCTCTGTTTTGTTTTTGCCAGCCAGCTTGAGGTGCTGGGTGAAGGAACCGCGGGGTGGCCGAGGCCTGCAGTCCTGCGGAACTAGGAGCCTGTGAACCCCACGGAAGGCCGCGGGGCTCAGTGGACAGGGGATGGGCACGGCCTGCCCCGCTAGCTGACTCTGGGGTCACTCGGGTGTTCTGGCTAGCTAGTGCCCCAAGAGCCCCACTCCATCACAAGTCCCCCACTCCACTGGGCAGCCTCGCCGCAAGACTGTGGGCCCGGGGCTGGGGGAGCTGGGTGGTCTGGAAGCAGAGGTCTCGAGAGTGACCACCTTCTCCGTGTAGTCCACCTTCCACAAAGCGCCCCACGGGGCCGGCCTCAGTGGCTCAGTGTGTGCTCTGTAAGAGCAGCCACAGGCCAGGCCTCCAGGGTGGGCCAGCAAGCACCTGCACAGGAGGCCTGTGGGCACCCGATGTCCCCAGGCGCCCCACAAGGACCAGCCAGGGTCAGCAGTGTCCCTGGGGTCAGCTGGGGTTAGCTGGGGTTCCCACCCTTAAGACAGAAGCTGTCTGGTCTCAACCCTTGGGCCACTGAGTGACTTATTTGGGGTCCTTACAGAGGTAATTACAAGTAAATGAAGATGAGGTACAGGGTGAGTGGGTTTCCAGCCCCACCAGGCTGGGCACCACCTGGGGTTTGGCCCTCCTCCCGGGCTGTGTCGCCCGGCCGAGGGACGTGGGCCCGGGGCAGGCTTGCTGAGAGGCTGGTGGGCCAGGCGGGCGGCCTGGGAGCGCGGCCTCTGCCGAGGGGTCAGTGCAGAGAGGCCCCGGCAGGTGCAGGTCACGGGCAGGAGGGAGAGGGGTGGGCAGGTCACCTGCCTGGGCCCGGGCGGGCAGGAGGCCGCCCCGGGCAGGGCGGAGCCTGCTGACACGTCTCCGCTGGGGGCTCCCTCCTCCCTGGGGTGGCTTGTTTATTGTGGGTTTGAGTAAACTGTGAGGTGCGAGAGGCCCGGTCTCCGCCACGGCGCCGCCTCCACGCCGGCCTGCACCTTCGGTCTCGCTCCTGACCCCCAGCCGCTGGCCGGGCCTGCTCTGTGACAGTGCTCCGTGTGCTGTGACCGGGCTCGGCTCCTGCAGCCCGCGTGGCTGCGTCCCTCCCCAGGGCCGCCGGCCTGTGTGACCGGGTTCCGGGCCTGGGCGCCCCCCCCAGTTCTCTCCCCGTCGGGGCACCCTTGCCTCGTGCTCCTGCCAGCCAGTGTCCGAGACCCCGAGAGGTGGCGACTCCGGCCGTGGTCACAGGCACGAGGTGACGGGCATCAGCCGCCGCGCGCCTGCCCCCCCCCCGCCTCCCCGGCTGGGCCCCCACGGCCCTGCAGCGTGGCTCTCTGGTGGCAGCTGCTTGGCGGCGTCACGTCGGCTTCCAGGGTCGGTGGGTTCAGGGTCAGACTTGCAGCTCAATACCTATGTGGGCCACCGTCTGCTGTCCCCAAAGTCCAGCTTCTGTTCCGGGCGGGGACCCCGACATCACGGGGGCCGGCTGCGGTCCTCGCCCGTGCGCTGAAAGGCTCTCGCAGTGACCCGGCTGCAGGCGCACACCGACAGGCTGCCCGAGGGTTTGTGCACCAAAGAAGGGGCGTGAAGACACGGCTATTTCGGGAGGGGGAGCTGGTCACCGTCCCACCAGCGCCCCAGGCTGAGTCCCGAGGGCCGCCGAGGGCCAGCCAGGAGCCAGGCGCCAGGCCCGGGCCCACAGCCCAGGAGCAAGAGCCCAGGGCCGCGAGTCTGGTTCGGTCCTGGCCGGCTGCTGGCCGCCGCAGGCCAGCGTCCTCCCGTGGCGAGGAGGGGACTGGTTCTGGGGGCTGCTGGCCGCCGCAGGCCAGCGTCCTCCCATGGCAAGGAGGGGACTGGTTCTGGGGGCTGCTGGCCTGGCCTGGGGGGGGACCCCAGCTGCGGTTGGTTTGCGCAAACGCCCCCACTCCCCCGCTCTCCTGGGCCGGCTGGCCGCCCCGCGGGCCTGCAGGCCGGCTCTCGCTGACCGTCTCCACATGCAGCGAGCACCGTGCGCTGTGCGTCAGTAACGGGCACGGTGCCAACGCTCCGCCCGCCGGGGGGCTCGTTGCTGTGGGGACAGACGCTGGGCCGACCTGCAGGCCGTGCTGTGGCCTGGGCCCGCCGCGGTCTGTGCTTCTTCCTCCCCAGTGTCCAGCCTCGGGTGGGGCCGCCAGGCGCTCGCAGGAAGGAGACGCGTGTGGGTGCAGGGCTGAGATGTCGGTGGGGGTACAGCGGGGGTGCAGGCTCCGGGCACAGCTCCCCCCGGGGGCCCCGGGGGAGGTCCAACCTGCGGGTCCCACAACCTGGGGCGGCCAGGAGCGTCAGGACCTCCGGGTCTGGAGGCCGGAGCCCGAGGTGGGCGGCTGCAGGGGAGGGGGTGAGGCCTCTCCTGCCTGCGGGGCTCCAGTGCGCAGGTGTGCGTGCACCTGTCTCGTTCGTACCTGCCCGGGGAGCGGTCTGGGGGCCGGCGCTAAGCCGGGGAGGCTCGGCCAGGTGACCTCTAACCCAAGGGCTCCCCACAGGCCCCGCCCAGCACCGCGGGGCAGGGCTCCTGGGGACGGGGTGTGGGACTCGGGGCGGATCCGAGCTTCAGGCCACTGCGCCCCGGCCTCCTGGGCCCCGACAGACTGGAGGGGCGGCCCCTGGGGCCCCAGGCCTCTGCCCTCGCCGGGGGACCTTCAGGCTGCAGCTGATTCAGCCTGCGGGCAGCTGGCCCCACAGCATCGAGGTCCTCGCCTGCTGACACAGCTATGCAACCTCTGTCACCAGACACGGTACCGATGGAGGGAAGCGCTCTGAAACATCAGGATTTCCACGCTAGCTCCTGCCATGACCGCCCTTTCTGTATCATCAGGATATTCCACGCAGGCATCAGTTTCCTAATGGACGGCCTCAGCCTCTTAAAGCGCTGCCTGGCTCAGGCGAGAAAGCGCCGCCCCAGGCCGGGAAGGTCCTCTTGGAATGAAAAGTATCACCACTGGCTGGTTAATAAGAATAATGATGACAAAATCAATATTGTAAGACCAGAGCACTAGAACTATAACAGGCGCGGGAGTCACGGCCGCCGCCCCCACCCCAGATGCTGGACACTGGACACTGATCCGTCAGCAACGGGGAGAAGCGGCTGGGCCGGGAGGGCGGAGCTGAGCGTTTCGTCCCCACTTCTGTGACCGCGGCAAGAGAGGAAGGCGGGAGGCAGAGAGGCCGAGCAAGCGGAGCTTCTGGCTCCCGGACAGCAGCTGAGACGGGCCCTGGGCGGGTCCGCAGCGACTGCCCCACGGGGGAAGGGCCCCTAGGTAGATTCTAAACTCAGATTCCAAGGGCGACTCATCGCTGTGCCACCTTCTGGCCCCCTCCCGGATGCGAGGCCAGTGTCTCACCGCCTCACCACCCTGGACGCAAGGCTGATTCACGCTGCCCTTATCCAGCCCCTCAGTGAGTCTCCGCGCTCGGTCACTCCCACCGCTGAGCAGCAGGTTGGGACAAGCCCGGACCTGTGGGCTCTGGGGCTCCTGGCCTGGTGGTGGCGGCCGGCTGCTTGGCGCTCGATGGGTCTTCAGCTGCCGGGGGAGTCCGGGTCAGCAGAACTGGTAGGACACCCTAGTTGACTTGTGTTTCTCTCCCTCTTTCCCCGGGTTGTTCCTTTACCTTTCTCCTTATAAATAAATCCATTATCGAACCTTTTGAGTGTGTCCACACGACGATTGCATCGGAAGCGCGGGTGAAGACCACAGCCAGGCAGCCCAACTCACACTGGGGTGCCCTGGGACAGATTAAGTTAAAAACTCAGAATTCTTTCACTGCCAGACGAGAACCCAGATCTCCGCTCTCTGCTGTCCCCCTTAAGCTTCTATTCAGTTTAGCCTTCGAGTAAGGAACTTCACCTAAGACTTCTACTCAGTTGTTTTTTTTATTCATACAGAACTGGGGTACAGGCCAGAGATGCGGAGGGTGAGAGGCTTCCCCAGAGACAGAGTGGGGAGCAGAACAGGCCGACTGACCAAGTACACTGCTGAGGGGAGCAGTGGGCAGGTCAGGAGAGGTCTGCCGCGCCCTGTGGTCACCTCCGGGGCAGGCGGGAATCGAACTCATGCGGAAGCGGCTTTAGCTTCTCAGTGCTGCGCTTTAACCCGCCGCGCCACCAGGGAGGGCCCGCTACTCAGTTTTTAAGGAACTTTTCTGGCTCTTTGTGATTGATCTACAAGAGAATTCCCGCCCCCAGCCGAGCTGTGCCCTGTGTATCCGCCTGCGTCTCCAGCCTCCACCCTAGTCCTGACTTCACCCTCTGAGAGGCCTCCGTGAGGTCAGAGTAGCATTTAAGCTTTAACGGGACTTTATTTTAGCCCATCGTCACTGTGATAGATGTGATAGCTTCAAATTTGACGAACTTATGTACCTATCTTAATTTTAATAGATGGATTTTAAGAATAATGTTATAATCTCAACTACGGGTCAAAACGACCCCAGTCTGCTCCTAGAAAAAAGGCGATCGCGATCTCAGCCCATTTCGTGTGCGATGTCATCCCCTGCTGCGGGGAATGAAACAAACCTCTGCTAAGAGCAGAGCAGGGCATCTCCGCTCCCACCTTGAGACCCTGCCCGTCTGCCCCCCAACGACCCGTGATGGGGCGGCCCCCGACAGCCTGCCTCCCGCCGGCTCAGTCCGGACCACAGGAATGGGGCGCCTGCTGGTGCTGGCCGCCGCTCTGGTGTGTGCCAGGCCGTGCCAGTGGGAGCACCAGTCTGCTCGGTGGGTCTCCAGAATGTCG